CAACCCAAAATCCCAGTCACAAGTGCTGGATGAGTAAACCCCTCCGGCGATGTGATAAAGCATGACTCAGGTGAGGACTGGAGCCTGGCCAACGCCACTGACACAGCCAGGATTCGACCCTAAGTCTAACTCCTAGGCCTGCGCTGTTTCCAACACACTGCTAAAATTCAGGGAAACAAAAGCTTTCACTTTTTAAAATAACTTCACCTTTTAAGGTGCTTGCTAGTCTGCAAGTCACTTAAGCATTATTTACTCTTTGATAAACACTGTGTGCTTAAAAATGCTTGTGAAAAAACTAACACCTATACTGTTCTTAATATTGCAACAATTAAGCTAGAAAGCACGCTTTTTATTGTGTGGCTATTTAATTATTTTTGCTCTGTTCTTTCCAGGTTTCCAGCAATCATTTTCAGATGAGTCAGAGAATCAGAACACAGCTTAGGACCAAGAACAGAGTGTGTGGGAAGGCCCAGGAACCAAGTATGCTTGGCACTTAGAACACCCAGGGTGTGTGTATGGGGTGTAGAGAAAGGAAAACCGGGTCCTTCCATGTAGAAGCCAGATACCAAATCTCCACTAACAGTCTTCCTCAAAGGCTACTAAGACCTTTGGAGTGTCCTGCCCTTCCCGGATGGCACTACAAGAGGCAAACACCCCCACCTTCTCCTCCTCCTCCCACGGCCACTCATGTATCCAATAGCAGCCTACTGTTCTGACAGCCTTGATGACAGGGGGCCAAGAGCACAGACACATGAGATGGTCACATGCCATCATCGGGCTGGTTATCTTTCCTCTTTAACTTGGCCTCTGATTTCTCAAAATGCCCCTACCTCATCAGTCTGAATATACCATTTCTCAAAATACAGTAGAGATTTTTAATAGTCAATCTGAATATTTTCAGATGCCAGGTTCTTTAGATGGTTTGGGATACAGAGGAAATGCAGAGGAATAAAGTATGACGGGGACTCAGAAAACCCAACTGTCAAAAACACCTAGGATGTTTTAATACACGTGCTTGCCCAAGGCCTATGCTCAAGCTATCTGACAAGGATAGGCCAAATATGGCAGGAAATTAAAAGCAATCTTACAACCAAACAAAACAACAGCTTCCATTTATCCAAGTAAGGAAGAGATGTGGCCACCATCCCTCTGACATGTCACACAGTGGGAAACTGTTCTGCTCAAATGGCTCCCTGGACATGGCCAACAGAAGTACAAAAGAGCGTGGCTTGCTTACTGACAATCCCATGAACCATGAGTCACTTCTAAGGAACAGTCCAGCGCTGTCTGCACACGTAGATCTAAGTCTGAGTGACTGTGGATAACTCTGAGACTGAATGAGAAAAGAGAGAAATGGGCAGGGCACCATAGCCTGGCTACCACCCTCCCACGTGTCTACAGGTCAGAGACACAACAGCTACAGAACTGTAACGCAAGACTCCCACCCTGACCAGCGCCTGGGAAGTCCATTTCTTCAGCCTACCCTGCTCCATGCCTTATGCAATAAATCCTACCCTCACCTCAGGTGCAGCCAAAGCTGGGACATCTTGGAGAGCATTCAACTCCTGTAGTCTCTGCTTTGTGCCAACCTGGGCTAGGTGATTCTGTTTCCTGGCTCTTCAGGTTTCCATCTACCTTTTACTGATTGCTCCCAGCCACCTGGACTCCATCCTGCCTGCTTCTTCTTCCCTCTCTCTAGCACACTCTTCTACATGGTGACCATACAACAAACGGCCAGCATCAACCTCATTTGCTGCCTGCCAGTATGAAGACCAAGAGCAAAATGGCCAGCTACCTCATGGTTGTCTGAAAGGACAGACTTAGGTTATTTCTTTTAAGTTGCATCTGTAATTTGATAACTTTTACCACTTCCTATAAAAGAGTTTTTTTTTTTTCAAATAGAAACCAAAACTCACGAGGTTCAGTCATTATCATAGGGCAACTTGGATTTCGTCAGATCCTCCTCTTGCTCCTTCCCAGCTGGGACATCAGCTTGCAATGGCCTCACTTGCTCCTAACTTTCCCAAGGGTTTTGATGAGTACAGTAAACTAATCATGATGCTGGAAGAAGGATGGGCCTGGCAGATCTAGAAAAGTACAGACAAGGACTCTGCCATGACCTACAGCAAGGCAGCAGGTGTATTTGTGTAAAAAGCTTACTGGTCCCATTGAACAACTGCCGCTAGAGCTCACAATGACTTGCTCTGTCAGCAGAGAGGAGCAGACAGGTCAGGGCAGAGAACCACCCCTCCAAGTGCTGGAACTGCTCATCAAGCTAGTCCAGACTGGCACAAAGTAAAGACTACAGGAGCTGAATGCTCTCCAAGATGTACCAGAAACCACAAAACGATGACTTCTGCCCAAGGAACAGGGTTCCTTTCCTTGAGAATCTGGGATGGAACTACAAACAGGCTCTTTTAAGCAAATATGAGAGGTGTCCAACAGTATCACCACCATGACTATCCAGGGTGTGAACAGATGGCCTCTGTCCAATAGCAGTGTGACAGGTCCAAAGCAGTGTGGCTACTTAGTTCTGCACCTGAGGTTTTTTTTTTTTTTTTTTTTTTTTGTATTTTAGTAAGGGTCTACAGGGTCTCACCACATAGATGTAGATCGGACAGTGATTCTACTGTTTACAGCCTCCCAAGTACTGGGATTACAGGCGCATGCCACCACGCTCAGTCTTAACTGCCATCTCTTGTCTCAGCACGCCCTGGGGGTGGGGCCAGCATGGCAGGCCAGGGATTGAACCTCCAACCCCTGTGTCTGCCTAAGCAGGCGCTTTAATCCACTGAGCTATTTGGCTGGCCCTTTGCACCTGAGTTCTGTGTGGTCAGATCTGAGTTAAAACACCCGTGGCATTAAATAAAACGACAGTATGTATGGCAGGCAGAATTCTAAGATGGTTATCTATTAAGTTCTAGTTTCTGGTTATTCATGTACTAGAAACTGCTTTCATCAGCTGACCTTAATTAAGATAAGGTAATTTTACTCTGGTGTGAACACTGCGCTGTGACTTGTTTCTTTGAGACAGGTTCTCACTATGTAGTTTAGACTGACCTTGAACTAAGTGGCCCAGGCTGGCCTCAAACTCATGGAGATCCTCCTACCTCAGCCTCCTGAAGGATGGGATTATAGCTGTGCACCTTTATGCCCAGCCTATGAGTCTTGTGAAAGCAGTATTTTCTGAAGTTGCCAACAGAAGAGGAAGACAGATTGAAAGCACAAGACTTGGTGCTTGAAGGCAGATTGAAAACACAAGACCATGGCTGGAAAAATGGAGGGAGCCAAGTGAACAGAAATGCTTGTAGTTTCTCTACACACAGAGTTGTCTACAACTTGCAACTAGCAAGAAAACTGTGACTCATATGTTGTGAACACTGCCAAGAAGCTGCATGAGACCAAAGCATGTTCTTTTCCAGAGCCTTCAGATGCAAGCCTCGCCCAGCTAACACCTTGTCATTAGCCTGGTCAGAACTACAGAGAATCCTACCAAGCCCACATGAACTTTAGAGCTACAGAACTGTGACAAGTGGAAACTGCTGTAAGTTGCTCAGTTTGTGGTAATTGTTACACACAACAGAACACCAGTCACTACGTAGGTAAAGCTCTCAGTAGAGGCCTCTGTTCAGAAGAGGCAGGCCTTCCAAATCAGCACTCTCTCATATACTCCCACACCTCTGGAGTCACCAGAAAAAGCTTTTCTCTGGCCCCTTTCACTGGACAAAAAGGGGGAGGGAGGAGTACCAAGAGTGGTGAGGCAAAGATTTCATTATTTCAAAAACTCACCCAGGGTGGAGGAGGGTAACATTAGATGTCTCTGCTTACTGACCACAGCCCCATATATACAGCAAACATAGAACTGTATTAGTTGGAAAGGCCCATGTGCATTGGGCCTAAGTATCTTTGCATACTCTTACTAAAAAGGCCTGTACTTAATGCATCCCCCCATGTGAAACAACTGTCCCATGACTGGTGGTCCCATGCTACCAGATAGGTCGGTCGCACACAGTTCAGGTCAGCAGGAACATAACACATTCAAATCAGAGCTGCCCAGCAGTAAGACATCAAATTATGGCCCTATCGCAGACATATTAAGTTCTTCTCAGAACCACTTTGTGGGATGAAGGCGTATCTCTGTGTAGAATGAAGAACAGGCTCACCAGGAGAGAGGTGGCACTCCCAAGCATGCATGTTTCCTGGCTGTGATACCTACCTAGGCCCTTCCTGCCCACCATGGGACCTGGGAGACAGGGACCAATACAAACACCAAACTCTACATTGCTTGCTATAAATAAAGTTCTATCTCTGACCAGGTCTTTTACGCCTTCTGCTAACACCATGAAACAATGACAATCTAACTTATTCGCTTACAAGTAAAAATCCCAGGCCCTGATTCTGAACACTTTTGGGAGATCTAATGTCTTTAACATTATAAAGAACAAAGGAATAAAATAAGTTTTTTGAGTTTTGTCATGGAGACACTATAGTTTGTATCATAGGTACATTGTGGGTCTAACATAAGAAAATATATGGCACATCTGTGACAGAAAACTTCCTGAAACATCCAATACCTGCCTTCCTCTTCCAGGAACCCATCCCTCACATACACAATGAACCAAAAAGAATAGTATGTGTCCATGACAGCAATCCCAGCCAGAGATGAGACAGTCTAATACACCAACTTCTGACATCTATATGGCACTGTGCAAAGCACATTAAACAGCTTCCACACACACAGTTATAGGTAAGCCCCATGACAGCAGCTGAGGCCAGTCCTTGCAGAAACAACTGTACCAGATTCCATAGGGCTGGAAAAAACCGCAGCACAGGAGCTCAGGGATGCAGATGGATGGAGCACGGTAATGCTGCTGTGCTAATGGCCAGGTGGCCACGCCGAGGGACTCCTCTTCAGGTCAGCCAGGGAAGCTCCACAGTGCCTGGGCCCTGAGGAATGTGAATGCCATGAAAGAATGGCTAGAAACCACAAGATGGACAGATGGTTTTTACTTGTGTACTGGTATTTTTAATGAGAAGTTAAGAATTAAGTCCTTAATATATGGATTATCCTGTCCTGGATGAATACATCTGTACTTGGTTCCTTTGGCAGCTTCTGTTTCGTACATAGGCAACAGGCACTTATCTTGTCACAGTATCACTTGAGGGTCTTGCTAAGGTTAGAGAAGCCAACACCAACACAGGTCATCAGGACTTTATCCCCGCCCTTGAGTTCTTCACCACAGGGCTTGGTTTCAATTTTAAACATAATCTGGAAAAAGCTCTTCAAATGCCGTAAAAATTCTATTCTAAAAAAGAAAGAAAAAAAATGCATTAAAAAAAATAAGCTCCTCCTGTTTTCCTTCCCAGAATCCAGGCTTCTGCAAGAGGAACAGAAACTAACTTGTAATCAAAGTTAACTTGCAATAAAACTTGATTAAAGAGTACTTACTGCTGCTAGCCCTCCCATTTCCAAAGAGGACTTAGACAGCTTGCAAAAATACACAAAATTAAGTCAGATAAATTCAACTGAAAAAGGCTTCCCACAACAAATGACATTTAAGTCACTTAGATTCGACTCACTTGTTAGAATGGACATAAATATAGCGATAACTCTGAGTCATCCAAACAAAGAAAGACGCATGTACTTCCATGATTCACAGCATCATGAAGGACAAACAGGAAGAATGACTTTTTTTTAATGCTGAAATAGGTAAGTTCTCCCTTCACTCCTCAGCAATTCTCTTCAGGTTACTCACCAAGTATTTACCGAGTGCCTATCCTAGGCAGGCACTGTTCTCAGTGCTGAAGTTGGCTGAAATGATGAAAATAAAAAACCTTTCCCTTGTGAAGACTTCACACAGGTGGAACAGAAAAGATAAGTTCAATATTCTTTCAGAGTACTACAGAAGTTTAAATAAAACAAACAGATGGGGAAGATGTGGGTGTAACAGTATGTGTGCATGTCTGCAGTAGTCAACATGAAATAAGGTGGCTAGACCATGGTGCAAGCCCAGCTTCCAAGGGGCTGCCCAACACACCTAAAGCCCCATGACCAGTGTGAAGTTCATGAGGCCCACACATTCCTAAAGGTCTGGCCAACCAGCTGCCAGTCTAGAAGACGGTCCATGTGCACAAGCAAGCTGGATTTGCAGCACACATGTGGAAGTCCCTCCCCGTTCTCTCCAAGCCTCTGAGCTCCCCGGCCCACTGGGTTTGGGAGGCTGTTGTTAGGTAAGAACCCTGCTGATTCTTATCAGGAAGATTTGGGAAACTCTGCTTTAGTGACGATCACCGACCTAAATGTCTGTAATAAAGCATTATAGAAACCTTGAGTTATGCTGTCTTCTGGTCAAACTAGCCAAGTTCCCTGCCCCAGATAGTTCTCAACCTCAAATGCAGGTAGAATCACCTGAGAAGAATGGGAAATGCTGATATATGTATCACACCACTGGAACAGAATCAAGGGCCAAGGCTGGTGAGATGGCTCAGTGGTCTAAAGCACCTACTTAGAACAAGCTAAGCAAAGCACAGGGACCGCGGTTCAATCCCCCAGCACCACAAGCCAGCCAGCCCCGCCCCCTGGTGGGCTGAGCTGGCCACACACACACACACACACACACACACATAAATAAATAAATAAAATTAAAAAAAAAAAAAGAATCAAGGGCCAAGAAATAAACACATGCATTAAAGGGAAACCTGATAATTCAACTCTTCCACAACTGCTACAGAAACAACTGGGATTCTTAGATGTATAAGGATGAAGTTTGACTTCTTCCTCATCACAATACACAAAAATGAAGTCTCAACTGAATGCAGTGGCACGTAACTATGATGTCAGCTACTCGGGAGGTGAGGCAAAACGATCACAAGTTCTTCACAAAATAGTTAAGACATCACACCACAGTGATAAATGAAGCCTGTGCTTATAGCAGTATAATTCATAATAGCTCAATCTCAGAAACAGCCTGTATGTCCACCAACAGATGAATGGATAAGGAAAATGTGGTGCTCACACACAACGGAGTACTACTTTCCCTTAAAGGAGGACAGTCAGGTCACCTGTAGAAAAATGGATGCATCTTGAGACCATAATTCTTTAGTAAATGAGACACACAAACTTAGATAGTTCACGGTTTATTTTACATGAAAAACATTATATAATGTATGAAATAAAAGACAAACAATAGGAAAAAAGTCATAGTAATCTAGCACTAACAATGTATCTAAAACTACACCTTTGGCCAGGGATATAGCTCAGTGGAGTAAGTGCTTGCCTGGCAAGTGCAAGGTCCTGGGTTCGATCCCTGGTACCACTAAAAATAAAAAAAGAAAAAGAAAATAGAAAAAAAGAAAAGTACACCTTGACTAGTACAGTTATTTTATTTATTTATTTATTTATTTATTTATTTATTTATTTATTTATTTATTGCAGTACCGGAGACTGAACTCAGGACCTTGCGCTTGCCAGGCAGATGCTCATGCTACTGAGCTGGCTCCCTGGCCCCATATGTTTTATGTTTTTAAGCCTATTAGTCTGCTCTTTAATCTGTATATAATTAACTTTATAAAGTCTCATAAGATAAACCTGATGCTGGCAAAATAAAGGAGGATGCAGGGAGGGGGAATAAGAACCACCAATGTGCCATATACACATCCCAACTCCCTACAACAAACATAATCATTACACACTGCAAGCATATACTAACAAAAGTTGGAGGGCAAAGGTAGGGACGAAGCAGGAGGACTGGTGGTGGCAACTGCAGCAGCAAATTCAAGCCCAGCCTGGGCAAGTGAGCAAGACCCTGTCTCAAAATGTAAAGAAAATAAAAAATAAAGGCTGGGGAAGTAGCTCAGTGATAGAATGCTTGCCTAGCATGTGCAAGTCGCTGGGCACAATCCCAGTAACACACACACACACAAACACACACACACGAAATCGTCCTGCATACTGGCACACACCAACATTCAGGAGGCTGAGGCAGGAAGATCACTGTGAGTTTAAGGCCAGCATGGGTTACACAGTGAATTTAAGACCAGTTTAAACTACATAGTGAGCCCGGCTAGCTCAGTCGGTACAGCATGAGACTCTTAAACTACATACTGAGACCTTGTCTCAAAAAAACAAAACAGAAGAAAACAAAACAAACAAACAAACAAAAAATCACAAACCAAACAAAAATAAAGGATTAAAGATCTGTGCACTGGAGCTAAAATTTATAGCTCAAAGGACTAATGTTCATTATTTTTAGCTAGGCAGCAGTTTAATAGTTTCTTAAGTATAACACACCAAAAACACAACAATAAAGAGATAAACTGGACTTCATCAATTTAAATGTTTGTGCGTTAAAAAAAAAAAAAACCAAAACAAACACTACCAAGAAAAAAGAAGACAACCTGGTTGCATGACATAAGAAAAGATCTGTAAATCATATATCTAATAAGGTCTGGTGTTCAGACTATGCAAAGAATTATTACAATTTAATAATGATTTTAAAAACCAACAGACATGTCTTCAAACCAGAAAACACAAATAACCAACAAACACATGAAAAGATGTTTAACATCAAGGAAACGAAAATCAAAATCACTGTAATACTTCAGACCTTATAGAGTGACTACTAAAGAAACAGACAATAGAAAATGTGTAGGTGAAGAGACAGAGAAATTAGATCTCTTATACACCCTGTTAAGAAGGTAAAATGGTAAAGCTGTTACGGAAAACAATCTGGTTTTCTCAAAATGTTAAATAAAGTTATTATATGATATAATAGTTCTACTGTTACTTATATATCCAAGAGAAATGACAATTTATTCACAAAATCTTGTATACAAATGTTTATGACAACATCCTTCGTAATAATCTAAAAGCAGAGGGCCAGCCAAATAGCTCAGTGGATTAAAGCATCTGCAAGCAGGTGCAGGGGCCAAGGGTTCAATCCCTGGGCCTGCAGCTCGCTAAAATGGCAATTGAGACTGGGCATGGTGGCGCACCTGTAATCCCAGCTCTTGGGAGGCTGTAATTGATAGGCAGATCACTATGAGTCTGATCTAGTAGTGAGAGCCTGAACACCCTGTAGACCCTTCCCTAAAATACAAAAAAAAAAAAAAGTAGAAACAGGGCTAGGGAGACAGCTCAGCAGTCTAAAGGCCCACCTGGCAAGCTCAGGGACCTGGATTTGGTCACCGGTGCCACATGCCGTGCCTGAGGACAGTGCTGGCCACGGAAACCAGGCATGGTGGTGCATGCTTGTAATCCCAGCACTAGGGAGGCTGAGACAGGAGGATCACTGTGAGTCTGAGCTGCATAACAAGACCCTTAATTTTTTAAAAAGATTAAAAAAAAAAAAAAGTAGAAACAACCCAAGTGTCTCTCATCTAATGAATGGATAAATAAAATATTTGATGGAATATTACTTGGCCATAAAAACAAAACACTAATACATGCGACAATATGGATGATCTCTGAAACACTATGTTAAGTGAAAGAACCCAAGCCACAAGGACCACATGTTGTACAAGTCTACTTACATGAAATGGCTACAACTGAAAAATCTACTGTATTACAGAGGCAGAAAGTAGATTGGTAGTTGCCAGGGGATGGGGACAGAGGACTGAGGTGTGACCACAAACTGGCAAAGGGCTCTTCCTAGTGGGATGAAAATGTTCTAAAGTTAGACTGTGGTTGTGGTTATATAACCCTGTGAATAGGCTACAAACCATTAAATTATACACTTTAAATGGGTAAACTGTGTGGGGTATAAATTACATTTTAATAAATCTGCTTAAAATAAATATATATTTATGAAGTTAAAAAAATGCTGATTCTGGTTTCCGCCCCTACTCACTATATACCAAACTACTCCAAGTAGAAAGCAACTGTGATGAATTTTCCTGCCCCTCCTATGCCTCTGATATGGTCAAAAAAGGGAAAAGGCAGCAGCAGAGAGGGAGGCCAAACAGCACCCCACCCTGCTGTGCTGAAAGGGCGAGGGAGCCGCACAAGCGGGTAGGCGAACATCGCACATGAAGATCTTTGCTTTGCCTTCCACCCAGGAATATACAGCTTCACCTTCTTCTTTGGAAAAGCGCCCTGTCAGTTCTTTTATAAAGACTTCCTTTCCAATAATGCCTACCTCATGATTTTTCTCTTCCCTCTGGGTTTCCGCAGCATTCTGTACTGACAGTGTCTAACAAAATGTTTATGGATAGTTGTTTCCATAACTGCCTCCTCCCCTTCCATAAATTATCTGAACACCAACGACCCCTACAGAAGAAACCTGGAGGCACGAAGGCCTTTATAAAG